CTCATGCTGTGGACTTTAAACGTAAAGGGTACTCCGACTTGTAACGGGCTTTTAGTCATTTCAGAAGCATCCACAGTACAAGCTTCAGCATCACAAATGCTAATGGTAAATGGAGTCTTTGAGATCTGATACTCTCCCCATTTGATAATGACACTAGCCTCACCAATAGATTTACCAATAAAATTCAAGTTGTACTTGTTGAACATTGCATCAACCAATTCACCAAGATGAACTACATCAACTGATAATTGCTGGCTCTCCTTTTGCCCATTGATTAGTACATTTAATGCTCCTGGACCAGCTCCTGTAGTGTCAATGCAAACTGTGGCTGATTGATTGACTTGTACTGTGTTAGGTAGATCTCCTACTATCAGGCAACGAGACGGATCAACAATATTTATTTTAAAAGGACTGCCTGGTATGGGGATATCGTTAACTTCTACAAATATGCTGTAAGTACCAACTTTTGCTGGTTGAAATGAAACACGTTTAAATATTTTTCCATTTTTCTCTTCCTCAGTGACATCAATGTCCTGCTTCTGTCCATCAGGTTGTGTTGCTGTTATTACTAACGATTGATCACTACCAACTGCAGTAGAGTCCACTGACATTGTAGCTTGTTCTCCAATTCCAACACAAGACTTAGACATTGCATCTCCACTAACTGTAACTGATTCAATGCTGAATTCTGGTTCTTTTCCAACAGCAGATACTTCAAAAGGACTGCCTGAGATGTTCTCTCCTAAGCACTTAATGTTAATGGTGTAGGCTCCTTCATGAGGAACAGCATAACTGATAATGTAGACACCATCACCTTTATCTTCAATGCTTACTAATATATTAGGATCATCACTACTAGGAGGAACACTTGGTACAACTTTACACTCCTTCCCTTCTCCTGTTATAGTAACTTGTAAGAGTTCATCAGTAAGGAGGCCAGCTTCTGGTCCAATGAGTTTAATTTCACTTCTCTCTGTAGCAATGCATTCACTGATATCTTGGTCACCCAGTGTGAACTGACTAGCTTCAAGCTGCTCAAGGTTAACTTGGAATGGACTGTTTGGTATCGGCTCTCCAGCCCATGTGATGCTAATGGTGTGTAGACCTGACTCATAGGAAGTGAAACTAACATTATAACTACCATCACCATTATCATCAATTTGAGCAACTGGACTATCTGATGGACCACTGCAATTAACTTCAAGTTCACCATTCCCTGCCTCTTTGGCCTGGACTGTGAATACAAAAGGTTCCTTAGCTTTTCCATCACTTGCAATATCTGATGCATGGCATTTGCTAGCATCACAAACTTCAATGGTTGAAGAAAAGACCTCATGCCCTGACCATGCTACAGTTACTTGTGATCTTCCTGGTTTTAAAGCTGTCATTGTAAGCAACTCTCCTTCTAATTCCACAGCCAGTGAGTCCGGATTGGAAGAGGTGACTTCCAGCTCTCCCTCCCCACCATCATCAGTACTAACACTGATGGATACTTCTTTACCAATATGAACCCACTGGGGAAAAGGGTCATCAATGGTAACTTTCTTTGGATCAATGACAGAGTATGTGACAGGACTACCTTTAATGTGCTCTTGTCCCAAAGTGATTGCTAGAGTGTGTTCTCCAGTGGTACATGGTGTACATGTGACTGTGTGTTGGTTATTCTTTGAACTGATTTTGCATTGAGTGTCTGATGGTTCTACAGGCCTAACGCTCAGTTCTGCATCACCAGCTCCAGTGCTGTCGATTACAAAAACAAATGGTACTCCGACTTGCAGTGGGTTTTTCTTCATCTCATTTGCATCAAAACTGCAAGCGCTTGTATCACAGACTCTGATAGTGAATGGAGTGCCTGGGATCTGATACCCTCCCCATTCAATAGCAACACTAGCCTCACCAATAGACTTAGCAATGAATGTCAAGTTGTACTTACCATCATTTGTCTGTGCTGCATCAACTGATAATTGTTGGCTCTCCTTTTGCCCATTGATTAGTACATTTAATGCTCCTGGACCAGCTCCTGTAGTATCAATGCAAACTGTGGCTGATTGATTGACTTGTACTGTGTTAGGTAGATCTCCTACTATCAGGCAACGAGACGGATCAATAACATTCACTTTAAAAGGACTGCCTGGTATGGGGACATCATAATGATCCACAAAAATGCTATAAGTACCAACTTTTGTTGGTTGAAATGAAATATGCTGAAATATTTGTCCATTTTTCTCTTCCTCGGTGACATCAATGTCCTGCTCCTGTCCATCAGGTTGTGTTGCTGTTATTACTAATGACTGATCACTACCAACTGCTGTAGAGTCAACTGACATTGTAGCTTGTTCACTAATGCTTATACAAGACCCATCTAGTACTCCTTTCCCTGATGCTACACACTTGCTAGCCTGAGACTCTGGTCTCACTAGAATGCTAAAAGGACTCCCTGATATATGCTCCTCTTGATAAAGTATTGACAGCTTGTACTGACCAATATCATAAGCAGTATAACTGAAAGTATATGAGCCATCATTATTATCAGTGCACTCAACTTTTGGTGGGCGAGTTGGTGGTTTCCCTTCATCGTAAGTCATGGAGTATGACAGGGTACCAGAAGCAATGGCTCCTTTATGTAGGCCTACAATGGAGAGTGAGACAGGCTCTTCTGGTTTAGCTTTTGCTAGGCCAGCACTAGCAGGAATCCTAACTTCCTGGGAACTAACTTTCTGCAAGACTTCAAAACTGAACGGGCAACTAGGCACTGACTGACCAGCGACAAGAACAGAAACTGTTGTCTCTCCAGCTTGTGATGGAGTAAAAGAAGCTATATATACTCCATTACCACTCTCCTTCATGGAAACAGGGTAGCTTGTATTAGCACTGCCTGCTTCAACCACAGGGACACAAGGACCACACATTGAAGTGTCAATGATGAACTCAACTTTGTCGTTCTCTTGAATATTTGCTGAATCTTTCAACTGGGAGCAGTCAACTGTACATTTTGAAGGATCAAAAATATTAACTGTAACTGGAGCTTTGAGGACTGGGTGTCCCTCCCATTTGAGCATCATCTTACAGAGGCCAATGTCTGTAGGAGTTAATAGCAACTTGTTGGGTTGGCTTGAATCACATTTAAGACAGTCATCTACTGTGATGGAAGCACTGAGCTCTCCTGGACCGCATTCAGCTGTGTTGATGGATACAGGAGTTGTCTTTCCAAGTGTAAGAACAGTCGGGATATCGTCAAGGATTTTACAAGCATCAGGATTAGTAATGTAAACAATGAAAGGACTCCCTGGGACTTGTTTCTTCTCAAATTTCACTTCAACTGTGTATTCTCCAATCGTTTTAGGAGTAAAACGTGCTTGCACAACCCCCTCATCTAAAACCTCCTGCTCCACTTTTGGCGTTTGCTTCTTTTGTGATGCCTTTATTGACAGTTTCTTAATGTTACCCTTTTTGATTCCTGTGACAATGAACTTGACTTGCTGTTGTATTTTCCCAGAAATAACAGGAGGGATGACCTTTATACTGCTATGATCAAGAATGTTAGCTCCCAATGGAAAAGGAGGCACATCAACACCACTAAAAGTAAGTGATATATTTGAGTGTGCAGATTCATTGGGTATGTATCTGCAGAGAGTTGTTCCATCATCCCTCGTTGTGACTATAAATGACTTTGGCGTTCCTCCTGCTAGTTCTACGGCTGCTGATAATTTGCCTGGCTTAGCTTCTCTATCGTCCACAATTACCTCAAGAGGCTCTTCAATTTTAGTTGCAAAACTCTCCCTGTCTGGGATACCAAGGACTTTGACTTTCGAAGCATCTCCAACATTAAAAGTGAAGGGACTACAAGAAATGTGATCACCAGACCACTTGACATCAACAGTATACTTTCCTTGAGTCTCTGGGTACATTTTGATTCTATGTACGAGAGTATTGTTACTGTCTCTCTCCTCAGTATGGAATATAGGGATTCCTTTCATTTGAGGATCAGAAGCAGCAATAGCGAGTGATCTTCCACTCACTCTGTTCGTGTCAATACTAAACTGAAGAACTCTACCGACAACTAGCTCATCTGGTTCTTCAATTGCTTTCCCAGAAGCGAAACATTTTTTAGCTTCTGTAGCTTTTGCAGCACGTACTTCAAAAGGACTCCCTGAGATGTTCTCTCCTAAGCACTTAATGTTAATGGTGTAGTTTCCTTCATGAGGAACAGCATAACTGATAATGTAAACACCATCACCTTTATCTTCAATGCTTAATAATATATTAGGATCATTGCTACTAGGAGGAACATTTTGCATAACTTTACACTCCTTCCCTTCTCCTGTTATAGTAACTTGTAAGAGTTCATCAGTAAGGAGGCCAGCCTCTGGTCCAATGAACCTAATTTGGTTCCTTTCTACAGCAACACAATTTTTGAAAGCCTCACCATTTATTGAAAATTGACTGACAGAAACTCGAGCAAAACTAACTTGGAATGGACTGTTTGGTATTTGCTCTCCAGCCCACGTGATGTCAATGGTGTGTAGACCTGACTCATACGAAATGAAACTAACATTATAACTACCATCACCATTATCATCAATTTGAGCTACTGGACTATCTGATGGTCCACTGCAATTAACTTTAAGCTCACCATTCCCTGCCTCTTTGGCCTGGACTGTAAATACAAAAGGTTCTTTTGTTTTTCCTTTGCCTGCAATGGAGGACACACTGCACTTGCTTGCATCACATACTTCAATTGAGAAGGGCGAGTGTGCAATATTGCATCCAGACCACGTTATGGCCACTTTTGATCCTCCTGTCTTTAAAGCTTTCATCTTAAGGACATACATTCCTTCTCTTGTCTTGTCCAAAGTTGTTGTAAGACATTTTGAATTTGAAGAATTAACCTCCAATTGAGCTATTCCTCCAGACTTAGTGCTGACATTGATAACTAACTCCTGTCCAATGTGCATGTATTGAGGTATAGCCTCACTGAGGACAACTTTGCTTGGATCAACGACAAAGAAAGAGAGTGGGCTACCACGAATGGGCTCGCCATCACATCTAACAACTATCGTGTGAGAGCCCACAGCAAGAGGACTAAAACTAGCTAGAAAACCTTTATTATCAGGAGCCAGTGTTAGTGGTGCAGCTCCAGAAGGTGTCCTAGCCTCTGCTACAATGCATTGGGCATTAACATCACTTGCTGTGATACGGAACTTTGCTACTTTCCCAACTATCCCTGGCTTGTTAGATGGAGGATCAAAATGAGACAAACGGCATTGACTGGGATCAATCACACTAATAATGAAAGGGCTTCCTGGTATCTCTTCTTTTCCAACTTTTACTATTACTTTATCCTTCCCTGGTTTCCTTGGCATATAGCTCACCTCAGCCTCACTGTTCTCCATTGATTTAATGTTAGCAGACTCAACGCTCCCTGATGACCCACGATCAATTTGTACACTCAAATCGTTGATATCTAAGAAACCTTTTGCTCTCATGACTAATATTTTCCCAACCTTCCCGAACTTAGCTCCGGTAATTTCTGGACTTGAGAAACTAACAGAGCCGGAGTCAATGACTGTACAGGTGAATGGAGAGTTTGGTATATCAACTCCTTCCCATTTGACGTTAATAACTGTGCTACCACACTTCTGTGGCACATAGGACACTTGATAAAATCCCTCCCTTTCTTTTGATATATTTCCATTGACACTTGACCCAGAAGAAACAATAGTGACACTGAGGCTTCCAACGCCAGCGTTTGTTGCATCGACTTGAAAGATTGCTTCTCTCCCAGCAAAAGCTTTAGAAAGGCCGTTACCAAAAGCAGAGCATTGCTGTGGAAGAGGAATAGCTTTGGTATTTAAAAATCGTGAAACATAAGTGACAACAATAATCTCATCGACACTCGGATCAGCCATTTCCTCCGGAGATAGGATAGGCTCAACTTCTAACTTTTCTTTGGCCAAAGCCATTGCTCGTCTTAAATTTTCCACAGATTGATTTGGATCGAGGGAATTCCAATCAGGAAACAGGCCAGGACTCAGCGTATTGATAAGGGCCGCCAGATTAATCCCATTATTCCAGTCCGTCTTGAAATTGGTGACCTTTTGAAAGGATATAATTGTCTGGACCCACGTCAGAAGGTTCTTTATTGCAGGCTCACAGAATGAGGATATATAAATCATGACACTCATCTCATCAACAAATAACTGGTGCAGATCAATCGGGCTTATGATCTGAGGTATTTTAAGCCTGGTCTCTGCCAGGTTCATTGCTAGTGTGCAGTTATCCAGACCATTGGAAGGGCTGAGAGAAGCATGATGAGGACAGAGTCCCGGCTGAATGCGATCAATGAGGTAACAAAGGGAGATACCGTTGCTCCAATCGCTCGTGAAATTTGTTACCTTTCTTTCCGGAATGAGAGTGTTGACCCAAGTCAGGAGAGCTTCTTTTGTGGAGAGAACTTTACCGGAGCTCCTTATCTGGTAATGACGAATGAGCGTCCATATCAGACCGAGACAGAGTTTCACGTTGCCGTCAATGATGTCTGATGGTCCTAAAATAAAAAATGACAATAATAGAGCTGCATGTATGGGTGTATATGCAAAAAGATGTTTTGTTTAGCATTTCCATTATCTATGTATGCATGAATGCATTAAAAGACTCATACCTATGTTGACAACTTTGATGTTTTGCGATTCCAAATAATTGAAACAGGCAGCAACGTTCTCTCTTACATGCGCTAGCATCCTCGGGTTTTTATTTCTCACTTTGACCCTTTCATCAATTCCTCGTCTAGTGCTAAGTTTATCTAGAAGAGCAACTAGAGCTCCATCTTTGAGGTCCGTCTCCAGGTCCTCAATTTCAAACGACTGCTCAGACTCGTCCTGGGGTCGGATTACGCTGTTGACCCATCTGACCATGGTACTCTTCTGCACGTCTTTCCATCTTTCGCCCACTGCTCGGCTCATGGCTGGAAAGAAGATGCAAAAATATAAATGTAAAATGCACTTGTTTTGTTGCAAAAAAACAACGCCCTACAGTGCGTGTGGTCAAAACTGAAGGGCGTTCCTCGTAGGTGCTAATTGCATTTATTACAGGGTCTACCCCATCAAGCATGGCGACCAGTTGTGATCTTTTAACATACTTACAATCCCTTCCTTCTGCTGTACTAACTCGTCTTTATCAGCATCCGCCATCTTGTCTAGCTGTATACAGGCAAGTAATAATGATAATCTAATAATAATAATAATTAATAATAAATATTGTTTAATTAAGTTATTCAATCATTTTATTTTAATTACTAATAATAAATTTAGGTCACTATCAGAATTAGGTCAATTGTATATTATGAGAGTGTTATTTATAGAGCGTCCATTGCCTCTAGCAGATATTAACTCTTGGGCTCTTCCTGGAAACAAGTAAGTTGTGTTGTGCATGTTTTTAAAATAACGCTTAAATTGGGATTTTTAATTTGCTTTAAAAGATTATAGGCTGCTTAGTAGTAGTACAGGGTATTTCGCCAAAAATGGCTAAGTAAGAACTCTTCATTTTTATTACATTTCCTGATGTATATACATCATCTTATGCTGCGTAAAAAGTTTGAGCCAATTCTGATCAAAATTAGATTTTTTACAAATTTTTAAAGTTACTCAAAAATCGGGCCAAAGTCCCTGTACTATAGTACAGGGTCACAGGCCAAATTTCACCAAAAATGAAAAGTAGAGAAAGTATAATTTTTATTACATTTTCTGATGCATATACATGTTTTCATGCTGCGTAGAAAGTTTGAACTGATTTCGATCAAAATTAGATTTTTTACGGATTTTTAAAGTTACTCAAAAATTGGGCGAAAGTCCCTGTATTATAGTACAGGGTCACGAGCCAAATTTGACCAAAAATGAAAAGGAAAGAATTCTCCATTTTTATTGCATTTCCTGATACATATACATGTTCTTATGCTGTGTAGAAAGTTTAAGCCAATTCCAATTAAAGTTGGATTTTTTACAAATTTTTTAAGTTACTCAAAAATTGGGCCAAAGTACCTGTACTATAGTACAGGGTCACAGGCCAAATTTTGTCAAAATTGAAAAGGAGAAGATTTTCAGATTTCATTACATTTTCTAATGCGTATACATGTACTTACCTTATGTAGAAAGTTTGAACTGATTCTGATCGAAATTGGATTTTTTATGAATTTTTAAAGTTACTAAAAAATCAGTTTTTGCTTGTCATGGATATCATACCAGTGGAACTAATGGGTTTTTTGCTTGTCATGAATTCTATGCTGTCGAGAAAAATTGTTATTTTTGTATTATAAGTTTCGAATTCTCAATACATAGCTAATACGTATTTTATACCATTTAGAATAATTATTTTTCAGTTTTTTTAAAGTTACATTAATATTGATGTTACTGAACTACACGTACATGTACATTTTAGCTTTCTAATATTTCATGATATTTAATTTCATAATTGTTATGTCTTATTTTAATCATCAGTAATTTATATCTCTGTATTTATAATTGGTGGATATATATTGAATACATTTGTTATAATAAACTGCTCAATATTACTAAAATTTCAATTTTTAATTTATTAATTTTTGCTGCATAGCTTAATGCCTTGATTCAGCTTTTAAAATGCCCATAACTCAAAAAATATTTGTCAGAATCAGCTCAAACTTTCCACACAGCATAAGAACATTAATATGTATAAGAAAATGTAATAAAAATTTGAGGTGATTTCGGAGCCTTTTTTTTGAAAAAACCATGGGCTATAGCCTTGGGTATTTTTCAGGATTTTAGCGTTTTCTTAAAATGGCTGTAACTCAAAAATTTAAGTCGGAATCAGCTCAAACTTGCTACACAGCATAAGGACATCAATATGTATCAGAAAATTTAATAAAAATTTGGGGTGATTTTGGAGCCATTTATAACATTTTTTTAGTATTTATTTATTTATTTATTTATTTATTACAGCTTACATGCAGAGACACTCTCGCTGTTGAACAAGCTCCACATTTTTGAGCCAGTACTAATCAGAACCGGACAGCAGCAAGGCTACCAGCTCAACCAATCATACCAAACCAACCTAAGAATACTAATCTGTGGAGGGTGAGGCCACATTCTTTACATTCCTATCTACAAGTTGTGTGCATACCATGAAATTTTCCCTAGTCCTTAAGCCAATCCGTTTATACATGATGCATTTGATGTTGGAATGTTTGGAATGTAGAGCTCTCAAAGCTATATAGTACTCTTGTGTAGTTATGGTAATGTGGTATGTATTTTAGGAGTTTAATGACCGTGTAATTTGCTAATATGCACTATGTGCTATTGTGTGAGCTTAAACTTGAAATAATAGTAATTTAAAAATATCCCAAGTCCAAATCCAACAGTTTTTGGTAAGAGTATGTTACAGCAATTCATAAATTAATGGTATTGCTATTAATAGGCGACCAAAATCAGAGAAAAACTCAAAAATAATAACCTAAATCCTTAATATCATTGTGTGTACAAAATGTACAGACATTCATACACTGACTTAGAAAAACTCTCTCTCCTTTTCTCTCTCTCATGTTATTAATTCATTTTTAGAGGGCAGCTGTGGGCGGTACCTGGTCACCGTGGTGATGACAAACACTCCAGGGATATTCCCTACCTGAATGACTATGCAGATAAAAAATGGGAGGTACACACGCATAAACTACTAAACTAAATTATCAATACAATCTTTATACATGTACACATACGAAGAACATTCTCAATTTCATGGTTGGAGGCAGCGAGAAGTTGGACTCAGAAATAGTTCAAGTGTTACAATACGCTGGACTCATGAGCCAGGCGTCTTCAAGACATCCATCCTTCATTACAACTCTTGGATTCCAGTTTCTACTAATGGACACACAGTCTCAGATATGGCAGTTCATACTACAGTACTTAAATACAGCACAAGTATTAATGTTAGAGGCATCAAAGATTGTTATTATTATCATTTGTCTTTAGGATAGAGGAATGGATCTCATTGATTGCTTGAAGTTTATCTTTCAGTTAAGTTTTTCAACTCTTGGAAAGGTAAAAGAAGTTAGTTAAGTGTACTTTATGTATGCTATCTTATAACGTTTTATGATGTATTGGGAAGGGGGGCTTGCTCTACTGATTTTGGCATAGCTATCCTGAAAGATCAGCTCAACCTTCTGTTTGTAGGCTACACGTATCTCCTATCATTAATAATTAATGAAGTCCTTTTAAACACATTCCTAGTTAAAATTAGCATAAGTGGATTCAGACTGCTATATATAGATATCAATGTAATAGTGTTGATATGATACTATTAATACAAAAACATCATGTTTTGGGGTAACCCATTTTTGGTGTGTTTACCTTTGTCAAGCAATGTTTATCTTAAATAATCAATAATTTTAAAAACACATTTCGACCATACTATATATAATTGTTGTGCAATGATTGCAAAATGCTATTCCTCTAGGATTACTCTACTAAAGGTCTTACTGAATCGCAGCTAACGTTCATGTATCATTTATGTCAGTTTGGTCTAGTGTATCAAAGAAAGGTAAAGGAGGGTGTTCTCGCTGTGTTGTCTTCAGCATAAAGATCTCCTGTTGTGTATACAGTATGAATATGTAGTGGGCCATTGTTCTCATCCTGCTGATATAGCTGCTAGCATTAATATTATTCATATTCAGAGATTATTACAAACATGAATAATAATAATAATAACAATAGTTATTACGATGGCTTCTTAAAATTGTGTTTTTGTAGAGTAGCTCGAAAAGATACTACCCCACAAAACTGGTGATACAGCTAACTGCAGGTGAGACTATAGGAATGCTATGCTTTGAAATGGTAATGAAAAATGAAAATACTGTTTTAATATCCATTTTTGAAATGACTAACCTTTAATGATCATAATGGGTAGGAGTGGCTCACAGCTCCCCGCGCTAGAAAAGTTCTTTTGTAGTTTAAGCACTGTCTTGCTGTCTCCGTCATGTCTACAATATGGAGCTACAGCAGCCGTGGTCTTGTAGATCGGACTTGTTTGGCAGGAGGTTAGCAGCCCGCAGCAGCAAAGAGAACTAGTGCAGTGCAACCATCGCTCTCCCTTGCCGCTTTTGGCCGCCATTCCTTCCACCTGCCCCCCAGGCCCGACCTACAATACCACAGCAGCAAGAAGCGAAGCGACTCTCTCTCCGTCACCAGTCTGACCTTCACTAATGATAGCTTTGTCTGACACTGCATTTTGGTGCCCTCTGCTCTCGTTTTTATGCTAAAGGAGACCAATGACGTCATCTATAGCCATATAAGTACATCTGCACATCTTGTACTGCTGCGTGTGTGGAGGAGTGTTGATCATGTGCTTTCCTTTCCCCTTTGCTGATATTGCTATCACGGATCAGGCCACTATGAGATGCTCCATTCAGACACAATAGTTCTGCATTGAGTGCTAATTATATGTGAGCTGTACTTGCAGTGCTGACTGAGCTAAGGTGAAAATGTAGCATTTGTTGTTCTATTAAAATATGTGCATACACACTATGAATACAGGAGTCACTGGCTCAGACTGTTGATATTGAAATCGGGGCCAGACATTTCCTTCCACTATCTGATTTACTAATGATATAATAATGTACCTCACTGTGCACTATACTCACCAGCTGTAGCAACAACTCACTGAACTAATTACTCTGTATATGGACTTTAGTGATCATTGCCGAGGCAGTAATTCATCACTGCTAATAGATCTGTACATATAATAGTGCTGTAATGTAATGCTAATATTATTATTGGTTATATCTATGTTTGGATAGTGGAGGACTTTACTAAAAACATTCATTTCCTATCATAAGTTCAGTTACAATAATAATAATACCATTGCAATTTTGGCTATAATAATGTAATTCAATTATTATCTAGAGTTTATAGTGGTGTATTATATTCATTGGTACATCGACTACAGAGTTCAATGTTGTTTGTTGTGTATTGAAACTAAACAGAAATGTTGACGATTGAGCAAACTGGAACTATGAATGGGCTTTCCCTGCATAGCAGAGATGAAAAGGAATAGGAGTGTACAGCCTCCTTAATCTGCAAAGGAAATTCCTTATATTTTATACTCTTGATACTATGCCTATATTGATACCTGATATTTTATAGTCTTTAATCTAATTACCATTGGACCTTGCTTAATAGTAGTAATTGTAAAGTAGTAATATATGGCTGGCCATATATGATGGGATGCTGAACTTAAAAGTGTTTGCATGTTTCCATGCATTAAGGAAGCTTGTCCATGCACTGCATTCACTCTTAATTCCTTTGCCCAAAACAGGTCAGCAATCAAGGAATACCAGTCAAGCAGGTTTCATTATCGTGGAGACAAATTATCGCGTTATTGCCTATACAGGTACCATACGGTTGTGTTGTGTATTTTATAAGTTTCATTGTTTACTGGCTGTAGATTCCAAACTTCACATAGCCACTTTAGCATTGTTCTGTCAGATGCAATACAGGTATAAGTTATGATTATGATGATGATGATGAAGTGATCACATTGTCACTCATTGAACTTTTATAATTATTCCTAGTATCTCTTCTCTTTTTTCTTTCTCCTATTACGTTGTCTGTCACTGTTTTCTCTTCCTCTAATTTCTTTCTTCCTGAACTCTGTCACTTTGTTCTACTCCAACGCTCTCTCTCTCTTTATCTCATCCTCACCTTCTCTGTGTCTCCCTCTTTGTAGGTTTCCCAATGTTGCTGTAGGCACTATTACTAGAGAGAGCATTCAACAGGTATACCACCACATTGATGGGTTGTAATGTCTGTGGTTCATTAAGGGTGGGCAGTGGGTACAACCTTATCAGAGTTTAATGATAAAGTAGTAGCAATATAATGGACACTGTGGACAAGGCAGTGTCTCTGTTATACAGAGGTGTCCTTTATGTGGAGGTTATTTTATACAGTAAGGAATGTAATTGGTACACTAGGTGCTGTCCGTTAAATGGAGGTGTACGCTATAGAGAGTGTCCATTAAGAGAGGCTATACTGTATGTGTGTGGATAAAGAGAGACAGAGAGGCTAAAGGAAGAGAGATGGTGTACAGCTAAAGGAAGAGATGGGATAAGATAAGTAAAGCAAAGCAGTAGTGTTGCCCTTAGGTATGTACTAGTCTCTCTGTTATGGTCATTGCCCTGTAACTGTATATCACTACATGATAATTGTATCAGTATTGTTGACTATGTAACCTGTTATAAGGAATTGCTGATCCTAGTTCCTGTACTAATACTGAGTCATGTTAGTGCATGCTCCTAGTCATGCATGTACATGTACATGTACATGCATATTGTTGTTTTTCTTATGTCTTATTAGGCTTTGGTTCATGGCATAAAGGCAGATCAGGTGACTCTAGTCATGATTATCATTGTTCTGGACATGTTTTTGAACTGCTTGTCTCTTCCTGTTATTGTTATTTTTATAATACTATTTCCCTTTCTCTTCCTCCCCTCTCTCTCCCCCTCTTTCTCCCTCTTTCCCTCTCTCTCCTCCCTCCCCCCTCTCTTCTCCCTCCCCCTCTTTCTCTCTCTCCCCCCTCTCTCTCTCAGATCATATCATTTTTAACACAACACGCTCACCATAACATGCTCTCAAAGGTATCAAATTGTTCTATTTTCAAACACTCACTCACTCTCCATTGACTAATAAGGCACACATATTACCACCTACTGTAACCGATCAGATCAAACTGTGGGAAATTGAAAGGAACAGGCTAAGCTTTCAAGAGGGTAAGAAGACCAATAATGACTACTACCAATAGTAATGTGTACATGTATGTGTGTGTATTAGTTATGATGTAATCAATTCAATACTACTATTAAATACTGTTAGTGATTAATGTTTGTGTGTATGTTGCAGGTATATTATATTCTGAATTCTTATCTGTCACTGACTATGAAAAAGTGAAGAAATACGCAGAGGTATTTATATAAAGAGAGAGGGAGGGAGGGGGAGAGAAAGGGGAAGGAAGGGAAGGAGAGAGATGAGTAGTGTGTCCCATATTGATAATAGATCACTTAGTAAATGACAGTGCTGCACACTCGTATAAACATTCTGAGTAATGCTTATGTCAGCACGAGTCATTGAGCTAATTGTTTGATAACCATTTTAAGGAATCAAAATGTCACTCTCTAATCAATTTTTAATCCAATAAGCACATGGTCCCCTATATAGCAGACTATTTATATCATTAGCTGACTGTCTAACCAACACAAAGAGATTACATACATACCCTATTGTTGTCATGCAGCAATGCAATCAACCACCGGTAGTCTTTGTCACTGGATAATCTTACAATATTGCCTTGGGGCATTTGACACTTTATCCCTCCCTCTCTCTCCCTCCCTCTCTCTTTCTCTCCCTCCCTTTCTCTCCCTCCCTTTCTCTCTCTTCCCCCCTCTCTCTCTCCCCTCCTTGTTCTTATTTCTAATGTAATTTGTCTGTTTCTGAGGTCTTAACAAAGTATAAAAATTAAAAAAAAATTTTTTTTTGTAACAAATTGTGCAATACCAAATCTTGTTCACACCTTGTTTTCACCTCAGGGTGTAAACAAGGTGTTAAAAATGAATTTATTTTTTATTTGTTGGTAAACAAACCACATTCTCAGGAAGCAGTAAGATTGAATTGGCATGCTAATTATTATTTATAATAACCTAATTATGGAGTCTTGTGAGCTGAGGAATGTCTACCTTCCATTAATGAATAGTGACGCACAGTGACTTCCTTAACTAATCACATTATTATCATTATCATTATTATTGATTATTATCATTATCATTATTATTATTATTATTATTATCATTATTATTATTATTATTATTATTATTATTATCATTATTATTATTATTATTATTATTATCATTATTATTATTATTATTATTATTAGGATCTTGGTGTTCTGCTGTGGAGTAATAGACAAAGGCGACTGATGGTGATCCATCCTGACAGACATGATGAGATAAGACACTTCTGGAAAAGACAGAAATCATCTTAAGGAACATTGACAATAATAATGATAATCATTAATTTTTATGTAACATTAATTATTATTCTTAAACCTGCCCTGAGCCTTAATCTGTAAAAATAGTCTATTTTGTCACAGCAAGTTTGGATCAATCAGTACAAAATTAAAAATAATCACAGCCAATATTAAAGTTAGCCATGAACCTGTGCATGTGTGACAGAATAATAAATGTTATAATTCATAATGGTCTTTTCTTCTGTAGTTTTTTATTGTTTGGCATTAGCTGTTGTCAGTTGCTACATATCTGAATAGTCAACTTCTAGTTTTGATCTTAGCTTCCGTTGCATTCTACACAACAAGAAAGAGAAAGAGGGAAGGAGAGAGAAAAGAGATATACTGTAATAGCTGATTGATTGATGAAATTGAATGAAAATTGAAGAAAAAGTCACCAAAAAGGACCGGGCATAAAAGGATTGGGCAATCGATCGTCAGACCACAACCCCTCTCTCCTCCTCCTCCTCCTCCTCTCAGTTATGAAGCCGTGAGGGTTAACCCTCTCATCATCCAGTTCATCATGACCCCATAATGGTAGTGGTACCAAAGGAGGTGACAAAGGAAAAGGGTTAATGGGGACACTGTAGTCTATATCGACCCTTCCTCTCGCTGGTAGTAACACTTGGTTCATTAAGTATTCTTGCCTTGTTTTTCTATTCTGGTAATGCTCTGTGTACTTCTATAGGAGGAGAGAGAGAGAGAGAGGGTGGGGGGAAAGAGAGGGTGGGGGGAGAGAGAGGGAGGGAGAGAGAGAGGGGGGGGAGAGAGAGAGGAGGGAGAGAGAGAGGGGGAGGGAGAGGGGGGAGAGAGAGAGGGAGGGAGAGAGGGGAGAGAGAGAGGGAGGGAGAGAAAGAGGGAGGGGGGAGAGAAAGGGAGGGAGAGAGAGAGGGAGGGGGAGAGAAAGGGAGGGAGAGAGAGAATGTGAGGAGAGTATGATGAGTGTGTGTATGTGTGTTACTGACTTCCTTCCATGATGTAACCTCTTCTGGTTTAGGAATAGATATTACATCTAACAAATTAAAAACATAGAATTAGAATTATAACTACGTGTACAGTCATTCTTGTTAGTCAAACCTTTTTTGAAGTCTCTAATAAAGAGGAGTTTCCATAGATACTCATCTTGTGACAGGATGTTGAACTCTCTGTTTACTTTAGATAAACTTATTAAACTCTTCAAATCAACCAAAGACATTATGAATATCTAAATAAAATTGAGAGAGAAAAAATCTTATAGTCAATAATAATAGCAATATTGATACAATTAATAATAATAATAATAATAATAATAATAATAATAATAATAATAATAATAATAATAATAATAATAATAATAATAATAATAATAATAATAATACTAATAACAATAATAATAATAATTAACAACAACAACAACAACAACAATAATAGCAGTAATTTTTAAAGCAGGTTAATTTAAGGAAAAGAAAGGAGAGAAAGATAGAGAAAGTTAGAAAGATGGATAAAATTAGTAATGTAATAAATTTATTAATAACAGTAAAAATAATAATAATTCATAATAAAATTTGTGATCATAGGCAAAAATAAGTTTATAAACAAGGTTAGTCTATAGTGGGGGACAAGCCTGACTCAAACATAATAAGATCCACAGGGGCTGATTGGGTAATATTTTTCCGAGAGAAACGAGATCGGTGACCACGGAGGCACTGCAAGGATGAGCGAAGGAGAGCAAAGGACAGTGTCACACGCATACAAGATATGGTGTGGTTGTAGGAGTGACCTGACTTATTACTCATCAGTGATGCTAATCTCTTCAAACAAGTCCTGGCTATAATAATAATAATAATAATAATAATAATAATAATAATAATAATAATAATAATAATAATAATAATAATAATTTTTTTTTTATTTTTTTTATTTTAACAACAACAACAACAACAACAACAACAACAACAATAATAATAGTAATTTTTAAAGCAGGTTAATTTAAGGAAAGGAAAGGAGAGAAAGATAGAGAGTTAGAAAGATGGAGAAAATTAGTAATGAAATAAAGTTATTAATAACAGTAAAAATAGTAATAATTCATAATAATAATAATAATAATAATAATAATAATAATAATAATAATAATAATAATAATAATAATAATATTACCTTTACTTCATGAGAGAGGCAGAGTAGTGTACCATACTCTGGGAGTTTAAGAGCTGAAATATAGAAATAATAAATAAAATAATAAAAATAGAAAAAGACAGACCTCTTCTTATATCGGTCAGTAAGTGATGAGGTACAGCATCTTTGAATGTCTGGGTCAGCTGAGAAGTGTTTGTAAGTGAAATACCTAATCATACATGAACAAAGTATAATAAGAAATAATTATTATTGACAAACAAGTGTAATAACAAATACATTTAAGACTAAAAAATAGTGGAAATTGTATTGCATGTACATGTACATAATTAATTCTGAAGAGCATAAGAAGCTAAGACATTAAGTATTAAAATGGCTGCATGTGTGCTATGCCAGTCAGTATGTACAGTACCTGTATCAGATGAAGGTTCGGTAGCTAATGATGAGTTTGGACTTGACTTGTTGATGTACTGATCAAAAGGTAGAACACATGTCACCACTTGAGTGGCACTGTCAGAGTCAGTAGAAAGATTAATAGAAGCTACACATGTTATGTGTGTAAGAGAGAGAGAAATATATGCAATAATGAAAATAGCTTTTAAGTTTTTTCAGGTTTTGGCATACATGTACATGTACATGTATTTCTTAAAATGGCCGTAACTCGAAAAATTTAAGTCGGAATCAGCTCAAACTTGCTACACAGCATAAGGACATCAATATGTATCAGAAAATGTAATAAAAATTTGGGGTGATTTCGGAGTCATTTTTTGGAAAAAACCATGGGCTATATACAGGGAATTTTTCAGAATTTTGACATTTTCTTAAAATGGCCATAACTTGAAAAATTTAAGTCGGAATCAGCTCAAACTTGCTACACAGCATAAGGACATTAATATGTATCAGAAAATGCAATAAAAATTTGGGGTGATTTTGGAGCCATTTTTCTATAAAAACCAAGGGCTATAGCCTTGGGTATTTTTAGAAATCTGGTACTTCATTAGGTGGCAATAACTCAAAAACTTTAAGCCAAAATCAACTACACATGTACAGGTACACATGATATCAATGACAATGAATAGTTTATTATTCTTACCATGTGTAATTAAGTTAGGGCCCAGTGACGTACAAACCATTTCAATTGGAATAATGGGACCAAATGGAGCAATGTACTGGTAGCGATTTAACGATTTCAATTGTTCCTTTGAGAGAGAGAGAGGGAGGGAGGGAGAGAGAGAGAGAGAGAGAGAGAGAGAGAGAGAGAGATGGAGCTATGGTGAGTGTTAATACTTCAATATGATTAACAGTTTGAGTGTCCATTGCATACAGGCTTTATAATAATGATTATTAAAATAAAAATAAACAGATGCTCAGGTTAAAATTAAATTATAAATAATAATGAAATTAACTAGCAGATGTCATTAACTAACACGTTTCATAAAATAAAGTACTATGTGCTTGTATTTTAAATCCATTTTTAATATTCTACACTAGTCCTAAATTGGAGATATTCTCTGAAATAATTGTGACACATTAATAAAGTTCCTCTCCCTCAATACATTCACTAAAGTAGCTTACAGTACCTGTTCATTCTGATCCTTCTTATTGCTGAAACCGCTATCAAGCATCATCATGTGTAACGCTTCACATAAAAACGACACACAATCCCCACTGCTAGCCACGCCTGAATCTGACTTGACCACGCCTACTTTACTCTCGCTTGAATTCTGTCTTAGAAAGTTTCCGAAGTTACTAGTACTCAGGACTCCTTGCGGCAAAGGTGGTCTATCAGTAACAGCCTTTATTATCAGCTCGGACGTATGACTAGCACTTCTGGGCGTGGTTCCAGAATTGATCTTTGTGGGTGTGGTCTCTATTGGAAAATTGAAATCTCCGATATCAAGATTGGGCTCAAAATTAGGAGGAATGAGACACAGAGTGAAAGCATCCTCTTCATCAAGTCCAATGTCTTGAAGAGGACACTTCTCATTCTTAATGGGATGGATGGAGTCTTTAGAGAAACGATACTCTGAACTAAAATGAAGAAAAATAGAAAAAATGGCAATTTATCTTTATTTATTTATTTTAAATGCAGGCTTTAATACCTTATATAGTTGTACAGTTTCTTTCTTAGGTCAGAGAGGCTTTCTTTAGTTGGGTCTACCTCCAGAGAGACGGTGCGGGCCCCAAGATCTCTCTTCAATCTCACTCTAATCAACATGGCTGACTGTAAAAGAGGGGCCTGTCTATTTATGGGCGTGGCTCAACTTTGTTTACCGGGCAATGGCGGCAAAAAATTTATATTAATGCATTAAACTTCTTATTAATTTTTTTATCTTTTATGGAAGAGAGAGAGCATAACAGTGTTAATAATTTAAATAAAAGAAAGAAATGCAACTAATAAAGAAAGAATATGAGATAGTAATAATTGCATTAATTATTATTAATATTATTATTATTATTTTTTATATTTGTAATAGCACAATTAAGACTTGAGTTATTATAATAATAATTATTATAATTATTTCACTAGAGATGGTGGAAACACAACGAATAATAACTCAATATCCATCCTAGTAGCTTAAAGATAGAAGAGAGAGAGAAAGAAGAAGAGAGACGATCAACAAAAAGATACACTCAACTCTACAATGAGTTGGGTTATCGGTTTTTTACTGCCAAGCATCAAATTTTTTGTATTTTTTCTCCTACAACTTTAGGATTGTGCTTCTCAATCTGCTCTCTACCCATGGCTTTGTAGTCAAACGTGCAATTATGTTCGTCGGCATGGCGATGTAACGAACAGAATAGATGACCACACCTACAGTCAAATCCTAGAGAGAGAGAAAGAGATAATGATGTATTGTCAACACTATTGTCAACATTATTGTTAACATTATTGTTATCGTTATTAATTCTCTTGTAAACAACATTGACAAACCTGTATTTATTCCAAAAAGCCAAAAGTATAAACACATGTATGAACACTATGATAAACAGGCTAACAAGAGCTGATAAACTTGTTAGTCGATAAAGGTTAGGGCGTGTCAGCCATGTTTAATGTTTAAACCATACAAAAATAAACCAGGCTTCTTTATATACATGTACATGTACGCTCCATACTAGCCTATGTATAATCACATTTAATGTAATATGCGTCCCAAATGTACATCAACAGGTGGTCAGGTTACATATTGCTAATGTCAACATCATATAGAGGGATAAGAAAAACAAAAATAGAGGGCTCAAATATGATCGGAATGCAAAGGTAAAGGATAGTGTTTTGAGAAAGGAGACATTAATGAGCATCTGTCATACATACATACACCTACTCATTCCTATTACGCACTGTGCTGTGCTACATTATGCCCTCTCTCTCTCTCTCTTTTTCTTTCTCTCTCTCTCTTTCTTACCTGTTAATCCTACTTTCTTTCGACAAGTGTGACATCGATTTCTTTTTGTTGGTGTTTTTGTGGGAGGGGACAATGCCGTTAATTCGCTTCGAGGAGTAGCAGTCACTTCCTGACCCACAGCTCCAGGAGATGAATCAATATCTAGAAGAGAACAATAAAAACGTGTAAACTTCAAGCAATGGAGAATCAATATTCATTAACAAAGAGTGTTTGTGTAGTGGTAATGGCATTATCATAATCAGTTGATTTATTCTAGATGACCACAACTTCAAATATACACTCAACACTTCAATAATAATTATGACTATCCGCTCACACTAATTAAAACTCTATAGCAATAGACCCACTATAAAAGGTGCTCCTAGTAATTATTGTATGACAATTGAAACCATGACAAGGACAAATGCTCATGTACAAGTATGGTCCCATTATCAGTGCATAATGATACAAAGGAGTGAGGTTTGTGTGGGCCATTGTAAAACAGAAGATATAACAATGAAGCCTCTCCTTTATACATGTATCTACTCTAAACATAGAAACACCACCACTCCATGAACAAAGTATCTATTCAAAGAGGGGCCACTTTTCACTGTATTGTGAGGTGTAAATGGTGTCTGGATTATAAAGGAGAGCCTGCTTTCTATTGTTTAGTCTTGGTTATACACATCAAAGAATGACACAGTGTCAATAAGAGACAGGAAGAACAGGTAAACAGGATTATATATTATTATTATAATTATACACTCATTACTTCATGACGTTCAGTTGCTATTAACACTTAGAGTGACAACTTGCTACTAACCCAAACTCAAGCCATACGTACACTAGACACCATTATCAGGACTACATCACTCCCTCTCTCTCTCACTCCATAAAATGATCTCATATTCATACATTAAACAGGTCATATAATCTTATTATTACTTTTCTTTCTCAACTCCCTCCCACCTGTACTCTCTCTCCTTCTCTAGCCAAATTCTTCTTTCTCTATCTGCACTTTCATTCTTTCTGTTCTTTCCCAATTCTTCAAAGTATATAATTTATTTTAAAAGGATATAAACAGCTTCAACCATTACAGAGAGAGAGAGAGGGGAGGTAAGAATATCAAAACACATTTCAGACAGGGGCCAAAGTGTAACAAATAGATTAACATAGTCAAAGAGGCAACAGTTTTAATAGAACAAAGTCCTTAAAAGGGCTACAGTACATCTGTGTCCATGTACTAATGCAATTTTGTGTGTGTCCCATATGTAATGTCTACGATCATCATGACTGATAGTGGGTATGTGTGTGTGTGTGTGTGTATATACAGTTTATAAAACCAGCAAGGCAGGATGAGAGGACAAGATTAACCTGAATTCAAAACAAGCTAAGAAAACATCTGCTTTACATGTACTTAGTCATATACAAACTCTAGAGTGACAGGGAGGGGGGGAGAGAGAGAGGGAGACCAGATGGTCAAAATAATTATAATTAAACCAAGCCATGCCAGATGACTGATGCAGAAGGACAGGAAATAGGAACATGATTGAACAAGTTAAGAGGAACAGTGAACACAGAGAGGGACAGACAAGCATAATGAAGTACAGGGTACAGGCTGTCTACAAAGGACTGATGTGTAGGGAACAATGAGCTAATGTAAATCATGTGATGATGATTGCCCACAGTCTCTTGCAGTTCATATATACTTCATTTTTAAAACTTTCCAGACAATAGAAGATTCAATCTCCCATTCTTAAAACTAACAAAAACACATGTACATACACTGTGGTCTATAGTAACAATTTTCTTTTCTTCTCTCTTCCTCTACCACCAGATCTACCCAGCCCATTTCTCTCTGTCTCTCCCTCTTACCGTCTGCTCTTTCTTCTCTCGTTCCACCAATGCCTGACCCAGTCACTGGGCTCTGTCCTAGCCTCGCTCGCTCATCTTTTCTTTCTTGGTAGTCACGATAACATTTTGAGCAGAGGCCCTCGAAGGCGGTCGAACCGAAAAAGCCACAGCCGGAACGACATAAAGAAGGAACTCCGCTACTTACATTTTGACTAGTTTGATCTTCCATGGTAGTGGTTGGTATAGGAACGCTTTGTTCTCCTTCTTCCTCGCTCTGTTTCTTTGCTATAAATCTTAGCCACACTCCTGGGACTCTCTTTCTGATACTCTCCAATAAAACGGCTCCTTATAAAACCCCCGAGCCTCTTTCTCTGTCTCACTGCGTCTCTTTCCTTTCTCTTTTTTTCACTGACAGAAAAGAGACGCTCAATCACTTTATTAGCACATTCACCACAGATTCCGGTCACGTGAGACACTGTCGCCATGGGGACAAGACCCGCCCATGTTTAACATACATTTTCAATGCAGAGAAAAGATAAGGTAAGATGGTCATTTTGAGCAATAAGCATCCTAATGAAAGCCTCTTCTTTGCAGATTAAAAGTAGAAGAGAGACTTCCTTAACAGCAGTAGCTTTTCAAGATCACATTGCAAGAGAATTCGGTTTAATAAGAGAAAAACAGCAAGGAAACAGTCACCGAACGCAATTGACACTAGGTATTTAGGCCACAAAAATTTCTATGTACATGTACATGTACACACACCTTGAAATAACTATGTAGTATTAATAAGTAATACTAATACTATCATAATACTAATAATAAGTACATCTTAAAATAGTGTATTACATTGAAACCATGCTATATACATTATTATTATTATCAAGAGTAGATTCTTGTTATTATCATACACATTTATAGCTCAAAGGTTAGGTCTTGTTGCATCTCCTCCTGCTCCATTAACTGACACACAGTGGGATAAAGCAAAGGAGGCTAGCAGAATTAGGGGAGACTCCTCTCAACCTTGTCCAATATGCCAAGACGTGTTTGGGTTACAGAAACAAGTAATTATTGTTATTATTATTATTCTTTTTTAAAAACTATTTTATTTTATTATTATTTTTTAGGTTTTGCTTTCATGTACTCACACCTTCCACAAGGTGAGTTCCCTATAATTAAAGATGATACCAAAATACTTTCACTTTCATTCTCTTTC